TCCCACACACACAGTCAGGGTAGCCCATCAAAGGAAATTCAGAACCCAAGGCTAAAATTATTAGTTACAGCAACGTTGCTAATTCAAAGCCCCTATTTGTGTTATTAATGAAGATCAACCTCCCTTTACTGAACTCCTTCCACAATTCATCCATTTTCACCGGAAAGGGCATCATTTTTCAACTTTCACAGACATTTGGGTAAATCCATTGAAACTGACAGATGTCTGGATTTTATCTATATACTTTTCTTAGTCATTTGTATTTCAAGACAATAATAAAGCAGGAAGGCATTTCCCTATATTTCCAGGTGAGGTGAAACCTCTGTTCCTGTCCTGGAAACTACTCACTGCTCTCCTTAAGCCTTCCAGTCCATCATATCTTACATACACCAATCAACAAGAACAAGACGTAAAAGAGAGGATGATGATCTGGGAATGGATCAATCTACCTTCCAGCAGATTGACTGTCCTCAAGGAAGTAGAATTCTTGGTCTTGAAGGTCTTCTTTATAACCAGCAGAAGCCTTCAAATACTTTCTTTGACCAGTCATGGTTTGTGTAGACTGGGAAAATAAGTCATGCTGGAAAATGAGTTAACTAACAATTTTAAACACAACTTTGCACTTAAGGCATGTTGTATTTGGAAACATGTTAGCTGGTCATGGTCAACACTGGGAGGAGAGAAGGGGCCTAAGACTGACCATGACCATATAATACATTTTCAGCATGACTGACCTCATCTACACCTTGGGCAAAGTTGTGTTTTTAACAAACATAATTTTAATATCTTCAGACATGCCTTATTTTCCCCATTTATACAAACCCAAGGGGAGTGGAGAGTATAGTAAAGGAATAAACCTTGGATGACGACATCCAATTTGGACTTCAAGCAAAGTTCATACATTTTTACAGAAAAGGATGAGATCTAGAACACAAAATAGGTCTTCTTGGCAGGCAATAAACCACCACCATGATATCTGCCCACTAGCTTCCAATTCTGTTTGACACAGATTCTTAACAAGGAAATACCAAGATAAGTCTAAGAATCCTTCATTTTATTTAACAGGACAAACTGCTAAGAGTGAATACCCTTGAGATATTTCCAGATCTGCTAAGCAAGCTGAATTTCAAATTTTCTTCCACGGCTATGTCTGATGTGATGAAAAAATGTTTTTTTATAAGCCAGGTGGAAAAATGGCTTACTCAAGAAATGCACCGTTCAACACCATAGACTAGTTAATATCTTTGGGCTGAAGCTAGTCCATATAAAGAAACTGTAATGAGTACCTATAATGGTAGACTTAAAATACTGTATTGTTGGCAATGTTAAAAGTATGAAACAAAGCAAGCTGATACAATCAGGGTTGACTGTTTTCATCCTGTAATATTGCTCCCTAAGAACTAATTTACTCTAGTTTAATACCAGACATGTTCCCTTAAGTGAAAGTGCAAGAGATTTCACACTTCATGACAATGCGTAAGAAGTGGACCATGGAGTTTTCCAGAATCAGAGAGAACATGTAGCAAATCCAGACCTCAACCTTTGTTTATTAACCTGAGATTCAGAGAAACCAAACTGATTAGTGTAATGTATTTTTTTGTTTTTGAACAAAGGAAACCTGAGTCTCATTCCAGGTTTTATTCAGGGGTGGGGAGGTGTGCGGTGTTCCCCTGGCTTAATCCAGATAAGTTTTGATTTAACTTCTTTGGATAACACTCTAAAGATACCCAAGGATCTTAGCAAATGAAATCATCTTTACAGATTTCAAACCCCTCCAAAGTGAAGGTCCCACTTGTAACCAAAATCTCAGTGAAATAAAAATTCCTTTCATGGAAGCATCAATGCAGTTTGGAGATAAAGAAATTAGGTAATTTTTGGAAAATGAACACTACTATGCCACTGCCTAAAATGTGTAGTCTAGAATACTAAAAGGGATTAAGTTCACATCCGTTATTTTAAGTGCTCACAGAAGAGCTACATATTTGATATTCTCCTTCAGGTCAGGTAGCTAGATGTCTACGTTTTCTAAACACACACACAAAAAACTATGGGCAAAATTAATTGGAGTACAAATTGAGAAGCCAGATATAGACCTGGTTGAAAATCTGGGACAATTATGGGTTTTCTCTTTAGGTTTCCCTTTGATGGAAATATTTTAGTTGATGATTTGGCAAGAACATTAAATAAACACGCTGTTGGATTTGACTGTACAGAGACTTGAATGCCCATACTTATGAGGTCTCCAACATCAGAAAACCAGATTAACACAACCTATATTATGCTCTGTCTGAAAATTACACTGTCTAAAATTAGATTCTTATTAAAAATTTTAAAAAAAAAAAGCCTATTCATCATGCCCAAGACAGGCAACTGTAAGAGGCCTATGTAAAAGCAATACCATTTAAAGCTAGTGGGAAGATGAAGTTCTGAAACTCTTTATTGCATCAAGACAAATTTTGCAGAGCTTTTGGTAACAGAATAAACAGGATATCACTCCTTCTTTGAAGTGGTTGGGCATCTGACAAATTACAAAGGGTAGGTGTAATATTTTACTGTTAAATATACTGTATATAATATACAATTATATATACTGACTGAAAAGTTAACTTTTAAAACTATTCTTAGAAATACCTGTCACTATTTCAATTTCATATGAATGATGCTCAGAGAATTGCCATTTTCCTGGTATTTCCCAAATGCACCAAATTGTCAAGATGGCAGTTCTCTTGCCAATTATTATTTTTTAAATCAGGGAAAATGTTACTGAAGTGGTTGCAGTATTCTCTGACTGGGAGTAGGGTTGGGGGAGGACAGAAATGGGAAAAAATGGGCACCACTTGTCTGGTCCAGTTATTTATACACATCCACAATATGACCACAGAGTCTTGTCCATAGAATCTGAGGAATGTTAAAATATGTAACAGAAGATTTTATTTTGGCACGCTGTGGGGACGCAGCAGAAAGAAGGAGGGAACTCTGAGAGCTCAGGGAATTGGTAATGATATAGCAACTTTAGGTGGCCTGTTCAAATACAGACAAATCTTATAGCTGTTTGGTGTCTGAGTCTAGCTCCAAGAGACAATATCTCACATCACAAGGCCACAAACATGGATGACACTGAATTATCCTCTCACACTCGGAGGTCATCTTGCCATATCAGTGCTAAGGCACAGTGGGAGAACAATGTGGGGAAGGTTGTGCAGATGTTGCCCATTCTGTATAGTACTTGTCTGGATAAACAGAAGACTTCAATCTCCAAGGGCTGCCAACAACTCCTCACCAGCACTAAATTCCCACAACAATTAAAACAACTGAAAAAGCAAAGCATGGAGAGTTCCTGTTGGGAATGGCCTCACCAAGCTACAAGTGACATGTTCTCCAAGCTCCACCCAGTCATTTATGGTTTATGATACAGAGTTTTATTTATTTTTTACATTGCAAACATTTTGTTAAGTAGAACAAACTCTTACAGCATAAACTATATTGTTTGATAACAAAAATGATACTTTTCTCAAACACAGATGGAAGAACACATGCAACAGAAACTCCAAGCAATGTTTTATTGGACATCTGCTCTTCTTGGAATGGAAACCAAAAATAGTCTTCACATTGATGAGCACTTACACAGAGAGCAATATTTGTTTATCTGCAGTGCCACCTGCTGACAGCATAAAGGTATTGTCCTTCTAAATTGCTCTACGGTATGATGCATTTGCACCGCTGCCCAAATAATCAGTGCATAATAACTAGGAGTCAGCATGGCTCTCAGGAATCAGTTACAACCCAGTGTACTACTTGGAAAGTTTGCTCCCAAATGGTCTTCACTCAAGTGCTTGCAATACCTAATCTGATTGTAATTTACACCTCCTTTTACAAATCTGCTTTACATCGACAGCTGAGGATACTATATGAATCTTGCTCATTTTTACTGTCATTAGTAAAGTGTCAGAAAGATGACCCAGCACATTGGAAGAGTACACGTTAGAAGATGATCATGAATTTAACTGGACTGCTGATAAAAAGTATCATATTAAAAAGTGACAGAGTGTAGAGGTCTAATAAAATCTATACCTTTTCCTGCTCACTTTTCCAAGCAGAGGATACTGTAGAATGCAAGAATGCACTGGGTGAGTCAGACAAGGTTAAAATAAAAACATACAATATTTTAAAATACTAGCAATAACAAAACAATAAATCGTTACACAAAAGCAAAAAAAATTTTTCTGGGTTTCATGAAAACCAAAACAGTTTTATTACATTTTGAACATTTAAACAAATCCTTCAAACACCAGTTAAACACAGAGGAATATGCAAGTATATACAAACACCAAACACATTAAGAGAGACTGCTTGGAAGGACTCATATAAAACACACAGGATATATTAAAAAGACTTCAGTGACAATGACACTGGTGGGATGTCACATTCCACAGAGTCCAGTCTCAGAACATTCTGCTACTCACTCTTTCTAAACTCAGTAAAATATGCTGGGGAAAGGAGTTTAAATTTCTGCTGTGTTTAACATTCAAATACCCTTTTTGGTGGTGAGGAGGAAGCAATGTTGTTTTGATATCAATTCTAGAGCATAACAAGTAAGAGCAGCTCAATTAAACTATGTCTGATCTGAGGCAAACTGAAAAGGGTGGATAGATTCCGTGGAATACAAATGTAGTTTTAAACAGTCTAACCAATATGGAAGTAAAGTAAGTGAAGAATGACATGGTCACAAATATCTTACTCGTTTCAGAGTAGCAGCCGTGTTAGTCTGTATTCACAAAACGAAAAGGAGTACTTGTGACACCTTAGAGACTAACAAATTTATTTGAGCATAAGCTTTCGTGAGCTACAGCTCACTTCATTGGATGCATGCATGATGTAGCTCACGAAAGCTTATGCTCAAATAAATTTGCTAGTCTCTAAGGTGCCACAAGTACTCCTTTTCTTTTTGCAAATATCTTACTGGCAGCATTATTCAGAGAGTATGGAGAAAATTGATCTACCTCAGCAACAAAGAGGGGAAACTCTTCTGGCAGAATCCATGACTGGGGATAGAAGTTGTACTCTTCAGGAAATAGATCCTGCATTGTTCGCACTGCCCGACTCAGGGTAATTTTACGCACCATTTCTGTCATGCCTGGAGAAAATAAAGAAGTATTTGGAAGTGTTCAAGATTATTCACTTAGGCTTTGCTCTGAGCAGCAAAGTAAAGTAAGCCTGTGTGTTGTTACTTACCATATGTTTATGTGCTCTGGCCGTTGTTTCCAATAGATAACTAAATATTTGAAGCTACAAGTGATACTGAGTGATTTGTAGCTTTTTACTTGGGTATTTATTTATACTGCACTTACCACCATATCACATGGTTTGGGAAAGCTTTAAGGTAGTTGCCCAAATATAAATGGGAATAAAGGAAGGAGAATTTTTGTCGAAACATTAACTGACTCTTTGCTCCAGTCTGGAATTTTTAACTTATTTTGCCAGTGTTGCAGAGAAGGAACAGGAGACATCAATTGCTTCAGACAATTAGAATTGTTCCTTCCTAAACTATTAACCCTTATTTAAACAATTACAGTTTCACATAAAACAACTGTGAGGTCTAGTCTTTCAATGGCCCAATTCTGCCAAGAGCTTTCAAATCTCATGGAAGTAAATGGGAGTTGGAAATGTTGAATACCTCACAGGAGGTGCTTAGCAGATCATGGGATCAGGCTCCATTAACATTCCTGGGAGTTAAAAGTGCCTTGTGAAGGGACTTCAGGATCTCGCTAACCTGTTTTTGTCAATTCTGCATCCTTCTCGCTGACCACATGGGAGGCAGGGTACAGCTAGGGTAAATATCATACACATGGCATGAGATTTAAACAACCAGAAAACTACAGAGCTATACCAGTGTAGGTGTATTGTCCACTTTTGTCTATATTTTTGTTCACAATCAGACAAAACTCAGTAAGTGGAGCAAAAAGTTCTATATATGGGGTTTCTTACTCACACAGCATACTAACAGTAGCAATATATCTGAAGTGAAGGACTTATATAAGTCAATACCTAAGCTCTTAATTCTTATTCAGTGGGATCTATGCTGGAATTGAATGAGAAATAACGGATCTTAAAAAAGTAGAATAGTCATAATAAGATGAGAGTTGACATGAACTCTTCAATATTAAAAAATCCATTTAAGGAACTGTGCTTTGAGATTTTCCCAGAAACAAGCCAGAGCTCAATACAAAATAGATTTTTTTTTTTTTTTAGTAGAAACAAATCCTCTAGGAAATAGCATTTTTACTGATGTTACAAGACACACAAGAATTGTTTAAATTATTTTAATTTAATTACAACCTAAAGATCAAGTTTCTCTGAATTAATGTTCTATATATGTACTGTTCCTTAGTGTCCCATTATACTCTCAATCCATAAAGAGCTTGAGTTACCCATTCTGGTATTCATACTATGTCTTAACTAAATCTCTAATTATTATTGATTCATAAAACATGCCCAATAACATGAGTCAGAGTGATCCAGTTTGAACATCTTTTTTCAATATAAAACTACTCACAAATGAAGAATATGGTATACTGTGAATCAAAGTATCTACTGATGAACACAATAGGAAATTTGCCATTAATTTCAATTGGACCATGATTTGATCTGATAGATTTTTATCTGGGCAATAGTTGAGCTCTGGGGTCCACTCCCAACATAAGAAGCCATGAAGCCCGGTTTCATTTCATATTTATCTTCTGGTTAATGAAGGCTTTCAGTAGCATCCAAAACGCTCTTTCACTTTACTTAATTACTGGTTAATTTTAGCATCCCTTTTACTTGATCAAAGCCTCAGGATCCAAATCCAGTGTACTTTATGCGACTTCTACCCCTTATCATGATTGCATCTAAGAATTTAGATATTTGATAACTGCAGAAAGCTATCAACAGGAGAGTGCAAAAGACTGAACACAATCTAGACAAAAGGTCCAAGGAAGATTCAAGATAACAAAAGATGGCACCATTTGTTTAAGGCTTTGTTATTCCAACTGTAATCATCACTACGCAAGCACCAAACACTCTCCTTGATGGTGAAACAGATAATCAGCCATTTACTTGCATCAGGATGAGAACACCAGACTTTTGATCAAAATAAGATGAAACCTTTCCTATTTTGCAGAGCGTTACAAGTGGTAACTGCCCAGCATATTACCAACAAGGTGGGTGAATGATTCAGAAACAGCATGAAAAACAGTTTAAAAAACATTTCTTTAACTTCAAGCACAAGATTAATTACCTGGAAACTTGTTGACTTGACCTGAGAATATGTCATTATCATGAAATGATACCCCATGCCAATAGATATCACAGGGCAAGCGTCGACCAAATGGAAACTGGAAAAAAGATACAATACAGATTTTGAAAGAGATTGGCTTCATGTACAAGTTTCTTACCTTTGTAAAAGTTCAAATAAAATATAAGCCCTTCAAAGAACAGCATTCTGGACATCAGTAAAGTCCACGCTTTATATCTAGTGCCCAACTTTAATGGGAAGAGCTTATTGTAAGATATCAAAGTTGAGGCCTCTGCTAGTGTGTGAATTAAAAGCTATTTTTAAAAAAAATTATTCAACTTTCTTTCTCTCATTAAATACGAGAGAAAGATGTGGGCTTCTTTGCCACTACTCTTTTGTAAATAATTATTGTTAAAATTTAATTTACTAACTTAACTCTGGACACACACAAATTAATAATAATTTAAATTAGCAGTATTTAAAGTATTACTTTTTCCAAAATTTGACTGCAGCTTTTCAACCAAACTGAATCATATGTTTGAGCTCAGGCTCAAAACTTAAAACTGAGCGTTCAGAACAGGATGTTTAAATTTAAACACAGTCGCTTTACATGGTTTTAAAACTCCTCATTGGAAACCAGGAAAAAAAATCAAACTGCATAGGAGCATGGGGTTGGGGGAGCAGTGATGCACAGATAGGTCTTGTCTCCTGTAACATTCCTCCACGCCCCCTGGGGGCTGTGAAGGGGGAGCAAGGAGCATCACTTTTCCAACCTGGGCTGTGAGGCGAGCATCAGAAACTGCTGCTCTCCTACCCTGCCCTTACGCAGGGAGCCCTGACATCCCTCCTCACCCCCCCCACAGCCCTCTAGGGGTGCATGGAGGAGCAATGTTCAAGGGGGGCAGCGAGCAGCAATGCCAGCTGCTCCATGCATCCAGGTCTGTTTCCCCACATGGACGCAGGAGGGGAGTGCAAGAGTTAGGGGCGCAGGAGCAAAGTGCAGGGGTTAGGGACACAGGAGGGAGGTGCAGGGATTAGGGGTGAAGGGGGCACAGTGCAGAAATTAGGGGTGTAGGAGGGGGTGCATGGGTTGGGGCAAAGGGGGCACAGGGCAGAGGTTAGGGGCAAAGGGAGGGATGGGGAGCCTATGGATCCCACAGAGGCCAGTGACAATGGGGGGGCACCACACCCACAGGGGTCAGGGATGCCAAAATACAAGTTCGCCCAGGGTGCCATTTTCCCTAAGGCCGTCCCTGTTACCAGATTTTAAATAAATAACACATATTTCTAAAGTACAAAGTGAGGAAGATGTACTATACTTTTCAGTATCAACCAGGTGCCAACTATAATTTATACTTAGGGGCTTACCAAATTCATGGCTGTGAAAAACATGTTATGGACCATGAAATAAGCCCTCCACCATGAAATCTCGCTATTGGAGAGGAGAAGAAGGGGCAGGGCTGAGGTCACCCCATCTGGGGGCTCCTACGGTTCCCCGGGCTCCAGCTGCTAGTCCCCGGGCTGGACAGGGACGGGATTTACTCTTCCCCTGAACAGCCACTCTCAGTGGGAGACCAGACCCACTTGTGGGTACCTTCCCCCCACCGCAGGAATCTCTGTGGCAGCAGTTGGGCTCTGAAGGCAGCACAGAAGTGAGGGTGGCAATCCTGCAAACTCCCCCCCACACACACACACCAGCTTTGTGACCTCTCCAGATCCCTCTTTTGGGTTGGGAACCCCACCATTACAACACCATGAAATTTCAAATGTAAACCTCTGAAAATGTGAAATTGACTAATTTTCAAATCCAGTGGCCATGAAATTGACCAAAATGGACCTAAATTTGGTAGAACTATATTTATAATATTTTTGTTCATTTTATTAGTAGCAAATGGACAGCTTTTTAGCTCTGTGATAGGAGGTACATAAAGAATGAATGAGAAATCCATATTTGTCATTTTCTTCTGGATATTAGTATTATTTTTTAAAGAAAAGAAAAATAATAACGGAAGTTAAACAAACAAACAAGCAAGCTTGCAAACAGACAAATCATAGGTGAAATGTTTATTTGAATTTATCAACTGGAGCAGAGAAATTATCCCTACAGCATTAGCCACTCACACATGTGAAAAGGTAATTCTGCCATAATTACATATACCGCACTTTTGCTTCCTATTATCAAAAGATAGGTCATTCAAAAAATTAAGCAGTGAATTAAAACAGTGTAAAGCCTCTCAACCTCAACCAGTCAACCCTAGCAGGAAAGGCTATATTCATGAGGTCAATTTCCCAAATACACAATATGTAACCCATAAATCAAAATGTTGTTTGGTCAAAATGTATACACTAATTTTCTCTAAATCACTCCTCTAGGGCTATTCTCTTGAAAAATGGATTACACAGTCATTCCTACCTATCCAAAATCAACATCTTTTCCTCCTGTGAATCTGTGTAGGTGCATTAATTAAATGTGTCATATAGAGAATTATTTGCAAGAAGATATTGTACTAGGAGATTAAATCACTTCAAGACAAACAAGTTATACTTCCGCTTCCAGTCATAACACTTTTAGGATCCTATCCTGTGAAATTTTAGCATCCTCAATTAAGCAATTTAACTATTAAAAACAAACTCTAGCAGCACATTGAGCCCTTACTAAACTCAATATACACTACAGCAATTTCTCTGGCTGTTTATGGTTAAGTTCAATTTCCCTCCATGAAAGAAATCCTTATTAGCCCTGACTTATTTTAGACAAAAGAAAGAAAATTTTAAAAAAAAGTTAGAAACTTTTCATGAATCTGTTCCTTTATTTGCAACTTTAGTTAAAATTTCAGTTTATTTAGTAAATAACTTTGAAAAAATAATCAAAACACTAATTCCTTTCTCCACTTCCTAATTCATAGGAGTAACATGCACAACATAACAGAGCTAGAAAGCTCTGGTCTCATTTCATTATTATTCAGGCTGCAAAGAGGAAAAAAAAATGTGTTTTTGTATCTGTGAAAATTAATTCTGTTAGGCTCTGAAAGACAATCAGTGGCCTTAAACCTTCTCTCCACAGGTATATTCAGAATAGAAATTCTTTGCTGGTTCTCAGACTGCCCTTCCCACTAAAAACTTGAACAATTTATTTATTTATTAAATGAAATTGAAATGAAGTGAAAAAAATTTGCATTTATATAGCACCTTTCATCTACAGAGGATATCGAAGAACTTTACAAACACTGCACAGAAACCATTTCACAATGGATGAAGTGTAAGCACCTCAGGGCTGGAACATGGCTGCATTTTGCACCAGAATGTTACTCAACAGTTTGAAGGTGAAAGGGACTTCCCCACTCTGAGCAAATTAAGTGAGTATTTATGCAAATAAAATTCTGGATTTACCCAAAAGCAGGTCTAACACCCTGACTCTTCTGAAATGCCACAGGTTCTTCAGTGTCTAAACCAGGGGTAGGCAACCTATGGCACGTGTGCCGAAGGCGGCATGCACGCTGATTGTCAGTGGCACTCACACTGCCCGGGTCCAGGCCACCAGTCCAGGGGCCTCTGCATTTTAATTTAATTTTAAATAAAGCTTCTTAAACATTTTAAAAACCTTATTTACTTTACATACAACAACAGTTTAGTTATATATTATAGACTTATAGAAAGAGACCTTCTAAAAATGTTAAAATGTGTTACTGGCACTCGAAACCTTAAATTAGAGTGAATGAATGAAGACTCGGCACACCACTTCTGAAAGCTTGCTGACCCCTGGCTCCAAACCATGATTTAAACTTCAGAATATAGTTTATAAACAAACAGGTCAGCACCTTGGGCCTACTCTGGCAGCTAAACCCATTTTAAATCATCCCTTTGAGGAGTCTCTCTATGTTTTAATGGCTCTTTTTTCATGCCCACCTGATGCAGAGGGAAAAGGGGACATTATTATGGCATCCCTTGTACCCTAATAATACCCAGACCTATGGTTAGCTGGTATAAGCAGCCTCAGGTCTCTAATTTATGCCAGGCACTGGGCAGATGCACAACAGCCACAGGATTTGGGGACCATAAAAATAGCTAAAGCCACCTTTCTCCCTTTCTTCGCAGTCTTGTGCTGAGATGACAAGAGAATTTGGTCCCTGGAGCTTTCAGTACAAAACAACTTTGAGGCTGTGCCTGTAAACAATTAATCTTAACTCTTCAAGCCATTTATTTAATGCCCTCCAAGTCTGAACAAAACAGATCTTCGTCTGAACAAAACCAGAAGAGAGAGCATAAAATGAACAGATTTGTTTTCACAACTCTGACCCAATTAATAATCAATCAATCACAGTCAAACTGCTCTGACAAGGCTTTTCTAGCTCTTGATAGGAAGCCATTAATTTAAACTGTGTCCCGCGGGTCACATCAGTCTGTTCCATCATGTTACGGACAAGCTAAGTGACTCTTGGCTTCTTGTCAGCTTTTACTACCATAGAATTTCAAACTGTTTCTCTGCTGCTGTGCCTCTACTGAATAGATAGATAAATGGAGCATTTAATGCTAGGACATTTGAGGTCTCAGCCACATACTTCTTCCATTTTCCTGTTTGTGTCTAGTGAAAGGTTAATCTACTGAGAGACAAATAAATTCAAGGTGCAAGCTTAATTTATGCCCATTATTTTATTTGGCACATCATGTCCATTTCAAGAATCTGACACACTAAGTCAGATAGTCCACTCTAGAGGCATTAATACCTGCTTCAGTGGTATGCACATTACAATTCTGCAGTGCATGTTGTGAGCTCCACACCTGTGCATCAGCCAAGACACAGCTCTTGCTGTTGTAATTTTATTCAAAATTCCCACACCTGAAAGTTATATTGTTTTCCTATTTGTTGCTTTTGATAGCAGAATTTGAACCAATTACCCTCCTCAGAATCTTTCCCATCTTCTTGATATACCAATGTTAGCATATATATGCATTCTCTACTCAGCTTTAATGTTATTGTTCTCTATGGTATATTTAAACAATTTAGCTTCATTTACTCAACCAACTTTGACCAAGCTGATTGTCAGTCACAGCTGAAAATGGTAGACAGGGCCCTCTTTGATTACTAGCTAACAAGGCAAT